AATCCTGCACCTGTGGTAACACTGCAGGCTCCTAAAATCGCTTTGAAAACGTTCCTGATCGCAACAACTTTTTTTTTTTTTTCGAGGCGCTATTTTGTTTTTTGTTTTTTTCTTTTTGTCTACCTTGATACCCCATCAGCGCAAAAACTACCATAAACTAAAAAAAAAAAATAGTGGGCATACAACGACAACGCACCCACTGGGACCCGAGTCAAGGCAAGAACAACTAACTACTAAAAGGGGAAAAAAATCATGTTCGCATACACAGACAGAACGCCTCCATCGAAAGAAATGAATCATGCGCTTGTTCTGCCAGTCTCGTTGTGCGTCTGTCAAAAGCCACAAAGGAGGAAGACAATCAGCGCCTACACCACTCCCCTCCCCTCCCTCCCCCCCCCCCCCCCCACCACCCCTAAAAAGAAGAAAAGAAAGGTTTCTTGGGCGCGCGCGCGGTCGCCCAAGCGATGACCTTGGAAGGGTATGCGATTGTAGCACGTTTGTCCCCCGTTTGTGCCCCTGTCTCAAATGCCACGGTCCGTTTCTCCCTAGTGCCCGTCTTATCTTCCCGAGTATCAACTCCGCAGTGATTCTGAATCATTTCGATGCTTTCCAACGTTGCAAAACTGTTAGACGAATATTTGCACAGAAGTATACACTGTTCGCAGAACTATCTACGGCGCTAAAATTCAAAAGCGCCGTGTTGGATTCGGGAACTCGTGTAGGTTTAGCTCATTGTTGGAACATTCTTATTCGCTCGATGAACTCCACAAAACGTGTAAATATTAGAATGAACTTTCCAGAGAACGATAGTTGTTGTCGGGGTTCCAGGCGACCGGACAGGTCGCAATTATTGGCTGATTAAAAATTTTATTTCATAACCACAATCGTATCATCAAGGGCACGCCATTTCCTCATCACTTCTTCTACGAAAAGAGTTGCTGTATTCGTAGCACACACAGACGGAAACGGTTGAGACTGTGCCCAAATAATATCTTCTTTCGGCAGGTACTGCGCAGCGATTACACACAATGCCTCTAACATAAACATGCTGCTCCACATGTCTATTCACAAGATGCAATACATCGTTCTCCCAACTTTGTTGAAATGGGCATGAAAGCGCGTAACCGTCACTTTTTTGAAGTTCTACTTAGAGGTGAAGTGTTTACCGTAAAGAGTCGTTAATTATTTATTTTTTCCGTTCCACTACAAAGCTCGAATCACTTAAAATTTTGTTTTTATATCGTCTCTACAGCGCTTTTACGTCGGTACTTTCGTGTTAGAGGACATCACATAATGTGCGAAAAAAACAAAACAAAAAAACGGTAGGATCGATGCTGCATAGCCTTTTTTTTTTTTGTGGACATCAAGAAAAAAAAAAAAGATAGTAGTTGTCTTCACTTCGCACTGCATGTTTTAGCACGGAAGTTTCTATTTGGTTATGATGTCTTTATTTTCTTAAAAATTGTATACAGTAATGTAAATAACCGAATTACAAAAACGTCGAAATTCTATAATTGCTTTTCGTTGGGACGCCATGACGACAGCGACACTCGTGTTCCCTTGTGGTTTTCGCCAGCATTTCTACGATGAATTGCCAGGATCGCGAGATGCAACAGCGTGACACTCCGTCTTCTGTGACGTCATTTGTTGCACTTCGGGACCACTTTTGATGTATGGCCAGCATAAGACGCTAAACACACCAGTCGGAGACGCGCTGCAGGTGCCATAGTACTGCTCCTAAAAGTAGCTGTCACGTGCTTTGCTCCGCGACTGTGATTCCCTCACAGCAGCTCTGACTGAGGGTTGCCAAATTACGGTGAAACGGATTATAGACAAAACAGACCGGAAACGAGCTGCCAGCATACGATAGTCAAACTCCAACAAAAATGATTAGTTTCTTCCCAAGCTGGACGACATTTACCGGGCATCTTTAGAGCTGCGAAGCTCAAAATCACGCGTACTCATAAGATTTTTTTTTCTCGCGTGTTTGTTACTTTTATGATGTCCTGCAAGCAAGAAAAAAATATATATGGTGAAGTCACTCCGAGGGGGTATCGATAACTGCGAGCCACGAACATGAAGGATTCGCTAACATCCGTCAGGAGTGTGAACGGTAAATCGTCACGCAAACATATTCTCACAAGCTGCAAATATTTATTTGGCTTAGCAAGTAGAATACTAGTATACTAACGACATGTGATTATTGTACACAAGATACCATTTCTCGGTTCTTCAAAACCATTTCCCTAGTCTCAACGGTCGCGCTACGGGCCGCGGCTAGCCGTGCCCTCGATAGACTACGGAGCTGCGTTGTGTCGTCTGCTACTGTACCGCCAACAGGAGAGCGATAGCTCTGTGTGCTCCACAGATGCGTGTTGCGGTATAACTCTGTACGTCTGTCCTAGAGGAAGACATAAAGATAGGCTCTGTGACCCCCCTCCTAAGCTAACAAAAACAAACAGAAGTATACTCGTTTGGACTGAAAGGTTTACAAAATAGTGACCAGACATTGGAAAAGCCTATGTCACAGAACTTGGTTTATGAAATGGCATCATTGTTTCGAGAAAGAAATCACCTGCTCACCACTGGGACGATGAAATCGTCACTATTTATTGCGTCAGGTATATTTGCGCTCATGAAGAAAAATCTGAACACATCCTTCTCCCAAAGTCCTATGTCGAATAATAAACACTTTTTTAAACATCTATGCACAAATAACTCATTTTTTTCTACACTTGTATATACACGTTAATTAAACGACGTCAAACCGCATTTTTGATTAGATCTTGATGTCTACACCAACTACATTCATATTTTTTAGGGCTTTATTGAACGATAACTTCAACTATAGTTAATGGAACACGATGGCTCGATCTCAAAAAAAACCTCAACGTGCGAAGCTTCCACAGACGGTCGCTTGCGAGTATTCTCAATGTGAGACTTCAGAAGCTTTCGCTTGCCATAGGGAGCTTGCTTTCGACTACAGCACTGCACGGGCCCGTAAAGCGCGGAGCGCGCTGCTGTGGGGAGCGGTTGACTTACAAGATGACGTGTTACGTGGTCACGTAAGATGGCGTCATTTCGTGCAGCGTGATCACATAAGATGACGTCATTTCGTGTAACGAGATCATGTAAGATGACGTGTTTGTGTCACGTGATCACGTAAGATGACGTCAGTTCGTATGAACTGACGTCATCTTACGACAACGCCAACATTAGTGCCGTCCGGAACCATTGACCTTAGAAACGCGCCTCTTCGCTTGAAGAGCTGATAGGCGTTGATTGTTATTTGTTTCTTTTGCCTACTACAGACCATTCAAAAACTCGCCTTCTGGGTGCCACCAACTTCGTCTACTGGGCTGTGAAGCGCGTTCGAGCGTGCGCAATACCTCTCTAGGCCGAAAGATTGTACACTGAGTATGCGTTCACAGCTCAATGACTTAGGCATTTTTCGTCAGGATAGATGCTCCCACGAGAAGAGCGTAATGGATATGTGAATATAATTGGAAATTTGAAATGTTCTTGTCCAATCGCATTTGTCTTTGGTTATCAACGCTTTTTAGCGTCATCACAAGACGTTCAACCCATAATACACTGGTGATTAAAAAATAAGCACCGAAAAACATGCACCGATTTTCGCTCAAAAATAAACACCGGAAAAAACATACCGTAATCATTACCCATGTCACCTATTTGGGTGATATGTGAATTTCCAGAAGAACAGCGAGTTATCACCCTCCCCTAGGAATACCCTGACTACAGAGCAGGCGACCCGTTTTTCCCCGCGTGAGATTGCGGTGACCACGAACCGTACCGAGGTCACAGGACGTCCGTGAAAAATAAAAAGGAGGCAAGCAACGATCTACTCTCTGCACGCTTCATCCCCGATTTCCACGACCCCAAGGCCGAAGGACGTTTGTGTGAAGGATAACGATAAAATAAAACTTTGCGTCAAAAAAAAAAGCCCGTTTTTAAAAGAAAAAAAAAAGTAGAAACAAGCACAACGCGTTGACGGACCGCGAGGTTGTGGAACACCTCGCGGTCCGCTCGCCACAGAACGGTTGTCTTCGACCCATAGCTCCAAGGTGAATTTGCCACTTGCGAAAACACGGAGACCTACCCAGCGAGAACCAGGAAAGCAAGACACGCACACTGACGCCTCGGCGTGCAGAATGAAACAGGATACGGGCGCGGAATACGGCCGCGGAAGAACACCTCGCACAGTGCCGATCCGGCCGATCTCCGAACGGACGATTTCGCATTTCGTGGACAGCGAGCGCCACCGCACGGGAGAGAGAGGTACCTTAAAAACGACGAAAACAACCACCGACACCTTGGTTCTTTATATTTGCTGTAGTTACGGAACAAAACGACTTACATGAATAATTTGAATATTATTTGATTCCGTAATATATTTAGAAGACACTAAGCGCAATACTTCTTATGTTTGAATTTAGATAATTTTGTAAATTCGCCCCGAACGCTAGAGTGCCGAATTAGCAGATTTTGACCATTTTCATGATTTTTTAAAGAATATAATTAAATTTATGATGAAACATTTGTTGCGCTTAGTGTCTCGATAATGACTCAATGCCTTTAAAGCCGAAATTTTCAAGAAGATCCGCGCAGCCGTTATTATGTGAGAATTTTTTTAATTTGGTGAAAAACCTCATGTATTCTCTATGGGGCTCTGAGGTGCGCCCCCTCTTAACAGCAACCTTCGAGATTGCTGGGAGGCAAAGAAACGTGTGATCATGAAGGGTGATTTTTTTCGATGCCGATTTTACAACGCTCCTGCGGTAAAGAACTCACATTCCAGTCTATCGACCTTCTCGTTTCTCACAATGGAACTTTGGCTTCGGATAGGTCGAGCCCGCTATAGTGACATATTAAATCAAAATAATGTCGGACAAAAGTCAACCGTGCCGACACTTACCCGAGACGAAGTGCATATTAAATCAAAATAATGTCGGACAAAAGCCAATCGTGCTCACACTTACCCGAGACGAAGTACCTTGAACATACTCGACTTGCCGAAATCTTCACCAGCCTGCAACACACAAACTAAAAAAAAAGGCGGGGGGGGGGGGAGAGGGAGATAAACAATCAACTCTAATAACAACTCTATGCACAGTCGGAAACGGAAATGAAACGCGAACAGCAGGCCGACGGCTCCCAGCGCCACGCCGAAGGCCGGGACCCGCCAAGCTAGAGCCGAACACATCCAACTCGAATGTGCTCGATCCCAGCCGGGCGCGCTGCAAGCCCCAGCGCAGCGCCGGCGGTGCCCCGAGAACCGTCGACTGGCCGCCCGAGCCCAATGCCTCCGAGCCCCATTCCGCCCCGACTGTACATATAAAACAAGGATTATGACAGCGAGCGGCATTCACAGCTTGAAGTGGGATATACATCTTATTTATACTTGTTGACCCCGCCCCCCCCCCCCCCAATTATTATTCACAAACCTCACACAAATCGCTAAAAAAAAAAAAATATAGCGCAGTGGATGAAACAGCTGCAACCACAATGTTTTCTTTTTTTACGCGTTTCGCTCGCGTCGCTTGAGATCACCCACAACGATAAGACGCGCGGCCCGACAAAGACACCTGGCCAGTACAGATACGGGTACGCAGCGATGCGTGCCGACGCGAAGTGACGACCCACGTGCGATAAAACGTTTGACAGGTCGACCGACGTGTTGGGTGACCGAATCATGGCCTCGCGATTAGAACTCGCAACCCCTCGGACGGTTTGACGAAAGAGTAAAGCTATACGCACTCCGGAGTGCGGCTCGACGGGAAATGGCTATACGCACTCCCCCATATAGATGGATGGATGAATACCTCTTAAGCCTGAACCGGGCGGCGGCTTGCGTCACCTAGCGGTGGCGCCGACGGAATGGACCTATTTTCATGAGCTTGCGCCATCTAGCGGTAAATTCTAAAACCGATGTCGCACAACACAGGATACACTCTCTGCTGCCGACTTCGTCATGTACTTCTACTCGATCGCCCACGAACGGCAAACTATACTCGACGTCAACTCTTTTGCGCTACGCTGGTAAGGCTACAGGACCGAGCGGTGCGTGGCTATACCAGCTATACTCAGTTTCCCTTTAACTGCGAGCACTGCAGAAGCTGCAAGAGCGACCTCCGTGATTTCAACGAGCGCTCTCGCGCAGTGCACGCGTCGTTCAGGGCAGCGGGCTCGCGCTTGTAGGTACGGTTGCACTCGGACGTATGCCCGCATGCCACAACCGATTTTGAGGAAGGGGAATGGGAGTGATGTTAGTACAAAAATGAGGACGCCGAGTATAAATTAAGCTACTCCAACAAACGACAGCATTTGGAGAGCAGGCACGATCGTCCTAAAGATGCTTCTTCTAACGCGCCCGTTTGGATATTTTCGTGTTAAGCTCGACAGTATTTGGAGAGCAGGCACGATCGTCCTAAAGATGCTTCTTCTAACGCGCCCGTTTGGATATTTCCGTGTTAGGTTTTTCTTTCATTTTCTTAACAAGTACGTCAACATGCTAGTCTAAATTTCGATACAGACTGAGCCGGGTCATTCCATCGGAGTTGCTATTTAGGATAAGGATGTCCATGCTAAACTAAACAAGACTCTTAATATAGCAACTAAGGCACGGGCGTAAGAGCATAACTGTACCATTGTAAAATTTCAGGGCCCCAGAGCACCGAAAGAGGAGCGGGGGGTTACGAGTTTGATCTGATAAGGCCGGTTTGGTGTTCGTTTCGAGTGAGTGCACCGGAAGTGTACAGGGCCCGTTTCCTACGATATATTTTTGCATAATTAGTTTATGTATTTTGTACTTCAATCACACAAAAGAAAGAAGCTGAAAATTTATATCCTTGGTAAATCCAAAACCAGTATAGTGTGGCCTTTTAAAACATGAGGCGATGCAGGGACACATTACAACATTTATAGGGTTTATTAATTAAAAAGTTGGCCACTGCCAACAAGCCCCCAGGCTGCACCACGGACTGCCTTTACAGCCTTTTTTTTGCACCGCAGACAGTACCACTGCTTTTGGACATCTTGCCGGGTTACTGCAGCACAAGACCTGCAATATGGGAGAATGAGTGCACAGCGCAGTTTAATAAAATTGCAAATCAAGCAAAAAAGGGGAACTAATTGTATAGCCTACAATAGCCTGGTGCATATATTTTCCCTCTCATGCTCATGCAACTGTGAGAAAGGTACCCCGTAGTCGCTATTTTAAAGGGTGTTTAAAACAGGCCAGTCTAAATAACCTTGTTGCGACTATATTTTATATCTCGACTCTTTCCGTAGTCGGTGACAGGTTAAGAAGTGAGGGCGACGGGAGAAAGGACGAGCACTAGGAGGGCTGGAGGAGAGAGGAAACCTCCTCTTCAGCCTTGTTCCTAAGCTCTCGATTCTTAACTTATCAGCAATTATAATGTAATAAAATAATTTGAAAGGAGCATGTTCATCCTTGCTGAAAGAAAACGGCATAATTAAGGGGGGCACACCTTTCCTAGGATCCAGAGGGATATGGTTAGGACAGCATGAAATACAGACTGCACACTAAAGAACCGTACCGGGTAAAGTGGCAAGTAAATAAAGATGCCCTCACCAGTGAAACCACTCTAAACATTGCTCACAGCAGACCATCTTCAGCTCTCCATCATCTTTTTCCTTGCAAAGACTACAAATCCACAGTTCATTGCTCTTCTTTGCAGCAACTGTGAGAAGAGCAATTGCTGTTCAAAGCTTAAGCAGAACACACAAGTATGATACCATGGAAGAAATTATGACAATGCATACCTGAGGAAGTCAAGAGGGACCATGCATCTGGGGTGAAGTATTTCCTGAGCCTTGGTAGGGAAACCCTGCAGTCTAGCAGAGCACTGGGCAGGGCTTCCGGCCGAACTTCCACATCAGTCTCCTCCAGGAGGTATGACCCATCCAGCACACGTTGACAGAGGCGCTTGTCAATAAATCCAGCCAAGAGCACTGGAAAGATAAAATGCAAAACAGAGTTCAGAAAAGATTAATACCACAAAGTGGTTTTTTCTCTTACATTTTCCTTTCGCCTTTTCAGACAGATGCTTGAATGGCACAGGCCCGTCTTCATCCAGTTCTCTTGCTCGCTTCAGTCTGTTATGTGGCACTCTCTTTGATGGACGTCCTCGGCTCTTCACCTCGGGGAGTTTGAACTGATAGGTGACAGTGCACCCTTAGCTAGCACTGCTTGGTGTGTCACTATCTGGAACTGTTACATTGCTTCTGCTGCTCGCACATCCAGTGGCCACATTGACTTGTTCCTGATCAGTTTCCTCCTGTTGATTGATTTTAGACACGATGGCTGGACGGACATCTTGTGTGGCGACATTTTCTGCTACTTCAACATCTTCATGGGAAACTCTCGACGTTACATCCTCTCTCCTCAACCAAGAGGCATTCAGAGACTCGAGCAACGCTAGGCGTGTTGCAAAGACGTCTGGCTGGCAGTAAGCCAAGTTGTCTGCGACAGCTCGAAGTGTTCGCATTGCATAGTTGAATTTCTGGTTCCGGTTCATCTTCTCAAAGGAGGACCCTGGCATAGATAGTATTCTTGGTTCTTCGTAACTGCTAGCTTCAGGGTTGCTTTTCACAGAATTGCCGAGGAACTCCAGTTGGCACGACATGAACCAGCGCTTGTGAACTGCCTTTTCAAAGGATGGTTTTAGATCGAACTTCACACAGACGGCGAGGAAATGTCGACGAAGTAGTCCCATTTTGGCGTATGTGGTACAGCTGCACGACTGATTCTGAAACGAAACTTTATGGCAGAAGTCGGAGCAACTGGATGAAAGAGCATAGGTTTTAATTTGTGGAGGATCGTCTCTTGTCTTGGCCAGCTCGTCGCTTACCAACTTGCAGGCGTACGGTGTAAGCACTTTTGAGCACTGCTTTTGTACATCTTAGGATGCTTCGTAAGAACAAAACTCGGAAGTCTTTAAGAGCATGGTCTTGTGACGAACCTCGTAAAGTATGCTACTTGACAACTTCATTAGTCCCCGCAGCGCTTCGTGGAGTTTTGACGTTGAGGACAACACATGTTTTATCCGGGCGTTGTGCGATTCAACGCGGTTTGTAGTGTTGTTGCCGCCCGTGAATTCACGGTCACAGAGGTGCCTAACCCACATTTGAGGAATGCTGCCCCAGTTTTTAGAGAAATAGCTGGAAACATCCGCACTTGCAAACCTCTAAAACTCGGCCTTCGCTTCCTAGAAATTGTCTGGAGTAGGAGGGTGCAACATCTCACCAAAGCAGCTCGACAGACGTTCTCGCTCATCTGATGACTTGGCAAGTTGTCCAACTGCAGCTCTGAATGCTTTGAACTCATGAAACTGACATTGCTGGACTGCTGGTGTACTCGGGAATGTCGTTCTGACGGCATTGATTTTAGTAAAATCCTTGTCCACGAGTACCACCTTTGTGTTTGCTGTTGCCGGGTTTTCTTGTACAAATAGCTCCAAAAGGCGCGTAACGACATGCTGCTGTTCAGACGAGACAAAAGCATATGCCACGACATGGCTACAGCCCGCACCATCTTGAACCATCAATACGAAGAAGGGCATTCGGAGTTTGTTTGTGCGATACGTGGCATCAAGGAGAACCACCTCCGGGAAACAGTCAAATGCTTGCTGCATGTGAGGTGTTTGAACGAACAGTATTTGAAGTTCCTTGTTCTCGTCGGTTATGATAAGCACGTTGGCATCATAAGTCATTTTGCACTGGCTCACCTCCTTTAAGAGCATATTCGCTTCGTCTTGTCTGTAAGTCTCTTGCCTCAGATTATAGAGGACTTTTGCGATTACTGCTTTTCCTGCACATAGAGGGTCGGTCCCAAAACTTCCCGGAATGATTTTTTGTGGTCGGCGACGCCGCCTGGCGGGGTGGGGCTTCAGGTGGAGACGTTAGTGGGGGATATAAGCTTCGAAACGAGACCGGTCTCAGTTGTCTGCTATCAGTTGCTGAGGCAGGTCACGCTCCGCGCAGAGGCATCTACAGCACCCTCGTCGAGAGGAAAAATGGACCAGTTTTTGGAGCAATGTTATGCAATCAAGTTTTGTGTGCAACTAGGTAAAAACAGGGCGGAGACGCTCGAAATGCTTCGGAAAGCCTACGGCGACGACGCGATGAGAAAAAGCCAAACTTTCATGTGGGACAAGAGGTTCCGGGAAGGTCGGGAGTCCGTCAACGACGACGACCGCTCGGGACGCCCGTCGACATCACAAACGGATGACTCGGTGCAAAAAGTGCGTCACGTTTTGGACAAGGACCGCCGATTAAGCGTTCGAATGGTCGCAGATGAGTGTGTAATACCCAAAACAATCGTTCATCGCATTTTAACAGAGGATCTCCAAATGAGGAAAGTCTGCGCGAAAATGGTGCCAAAGGTCCTGACGAGTGAGATGAAGGAAGAGCGTTTGTTGAAGTGTCAGGAATTGCACGAACGCTTCGAAACAGACCCAGAATTTTTGGACAGAGTGATCACAGGGGATGAGACGTGGATTTTCGAGTACGATCCCGAATCAAAGCGTCAGAGCAGCGAGTGGCACACCACGGAGTCTCCTCGCCCGAAAAAAGCAAGGATGAGCAAATCGCGAATCAAGGCAATGCTCATTGTGTTTTTGACAAAAAAGGTGTGGTTCACAGTGAATTCGTGCCACAGGGACAAACAGTCAACAAGGAGTTTCACTGTGAAGTGCTCAAACGGTTGCGAAACAGGGTTCGACGAGTCCGAAAAGAAATTTGCGACAACTGGATCTTGCACCATGACAATGCGTCAAGCCACACCGCGCTCATTGTCTCCGAGTTGCTGGCCAAAATGTGTGTGCCAACGCTGCCCCAGCCACCGTACAGCCCCGATCTGGCACCACCGGACTTCTTTTTATTCCCAAGAATCAAAAGAACCCTGAAAGGAACTCGGCATGGGACGCTGGAGACGGTAAAAGCAGCTGCGACGACCTCACTGAAGGAGGTTCCTGTTGACGGCTTCCAGGGCGCCTTCAGTGATTGGGTTCAGCGTTGGCAACAGTGCATCGAAGCAGGGGGAGATTACTTTGAAAAGTTCTGAAAAGATTGTAAACTGATATTGAATAGATGATTTATAAAAAAAAACAATTCCGGGAACTTTTGGGACAGACCCTATACAAACAAAGAGAATGACGATCAGGCGAGTGATTTCCCTACACCCCCCCAAGGGGGGTCTACACACCCGCTTGTTCTTTTTTGAAGGCACCCCTTTAATTCACAACGACTCCTGTATTCTCAATGCGACCCCCTAACCCCCCCCCCCCCCCTCAAAAAAAAAATAAATAAATAAATAAAGGACTCTTTCTTTTTAAATTTCAATTTCTGGGGAAACCCCTGGATCAGGCACACAAGAACATCTACTGAAAGAAAAACATGAACTATCACCTACCACTTCGTTCTTTGAGCTTCTCCACGATGAGACTGGGAAGCACATTCAGCTCCATCAACGGCTTCACAAAGTCGACCTCTTCGGCACTCGGGGTACGTCCGGAAGGTTTCGTAGCTTACTTCGTGGTTGTGTTCCATTTTCAGCTCCGTGATCTCCCGCTGTTGGGCGCCGCTACGTCGCGCCGCTACGACAGCTTTTGCCGGGCAGTCTTTTTTCATCGCCCTAAACAGAAACCAAAAATACAACAGCGTGTCAGCTCCACAAGTCCCCGCCAGCACATCGTGATCCAAAAGAGCGGCCCTGCAGAAAGATCTAGGGCACATGTTATGACACTGAGTGCTTACCTTTGGTGCGGACGGATTCCTGTCCCCGTGGTTCTTGTAGTACTACCGTGCTTGCAAGCGTATATCACGTTGGCGAACTTTAGTTTCTGATCGAGCGGGGTCAGGCCAGGCGAACGGCGCGCGTTCACCAAGCCAACAGTCTTACTTCTTTTTATGACGAAAAGAGTGTTCGTCGTCACTTGGAAGTCCCTGAATGCTCGGTCAAATTCTGCGAAGCTGTTAAACTTCGCGCCGACGTGGATCTCAGCACGCTCGGGATGGACCGCCATAGCTGACGCGCCTACGTGTAGTAGTGGCGGCACGATGACTGACGATGACGCACACGCTCGGGCTGGCCGATCTCGACTGCCCGTGCCCACCACTAGATGGCGCGAGCTCCCAGCGGAGTGCGTATAGCCATTTCCCGTCGAGCCGCACTCCGGAGTGCGTATAGCTTTACTCTTGAGGAAAAGCGCGAGGAGATGCATGCTCGCCAAGGGAAAATAGCTCTCAGAATACATTTCTCGAACGCGATTAGGCAAAGGCAGGTAAGGAAACAAACCAAGGAGATGCTTGAACGGAAGCTTAGGTTCACGACCAACTCTAGAGTTGCTCGTGCTTAGGAGGACAGAGAAAAAAAGGCTTACCTTCGAGAAGCACCGAGGAATGAGCCTATTGAGCTGTGCCCACAACCCTCCAGGGCTGTTCATTCCTGCTCGCGTTGTGCCTCGCCACTTATTAGTCGCAAATTCCATTCTCGGACGCGGCATATCGGATCGATATGAGTTCTACGTAAAAATAAAAGACCCACCAAACCGCAACAAAGTTTGGGCGGTTTCGACGCAAATGAAGTTCAGACTAGATTGGATTGGCTTGTAAACGACTGTTTCGACGTGCATAATAAATGCGGAAATAAAAATTTAACGTAACATTATTAGTAAAACAGTGGTGAAACAAAACAATAAAACGTTTTAACAAACTTAAAAAAACAAAACAAATGTATTAAAATAAAAGTTTTATATGCGATACGAAACTTCGCTTAGTCGCACAACTACGACGGGATTTCAGTTTCGGTTTGGGATCGGAGGCTGCGTATTTTCGACACCGATTGGATGTCCAGGGGGCGTGGACAATGACGTCACGGATGAAAACGTCAACAACACGTTTTCTTTGGATGCCGCTGACTGCATTTTGAAATGTCGGTCGCTCGGCGTTGTTGTGGCCGGACCAAATTGCTTTTTTGGTCCGCGGGCCGCGCATCACGTGATCTTACGTCACCGGTTTTCGAGGTCCGCCGGTGGTCCGCGCCCCGCGCTTCTGAGAAATGCCAAGCTACTTTTCTCGCCCGGACCTTGGCGGCGGACCGCGGCGTTTTTAGTATAATTGAAGCGCTAAGTCTGGCAACAAGCTGACTTTTGTTGTTTGGATTGGAATCCAAATCTAAAGTCGTTTTCTTTTGGCGCCAACTGTGGAAGACGAAGAAGACGAACCTTTTGTTGTGCGACGATGCAACTTTTTACTTCATCGCGCTCATGGAGCAATTCCCCGCTCCGTGGGACAATAGTCGCGACGACTACCCAAATAATCATCTAAAGATGTCCCCATGCCTTTTTCGGTTCACTTAAGTCGTCCTCGTCCTCAATATTCAACGCCAGGGCCACCGCGGCCAAACGTCTCTTTCGTTCAACCTCCATCTTGGCTCCTTACAAATAGCCTCAAAGCAGCTCGCTGCATGCGTTTGGCGGAGCTGTGAGGTCGAGGGTTAGACCCGACCGTTCACTCTGTCGTCTGCTCTTTTGGTCCGCCGTGTGGATGCTCATTGCAGCCCGGCGGCCGCAGGCCGTGCATCACGTGATCAATCGGTCCGCGGCCCGGTCCGTCGTGTGGATACACCTTAACCGGTAACGTAAAATCACGTGATGCGCGGCCCGCGGACCAAAACAGCAATTTGGTTCGCCGTGTCGATACACCTTTATCAACATTGCCGCCTGTACTCGTCGCGTTCTTAGGAACATCAAAATAAGCGTTCTCTATTTTCAAACTTCGCCCGGTGCCGTCCGTTACTCCTGTTCCAAATGAAGATTACGTGTACCGGAGGCGACAGAGCCCAGCCGCAGTAATTTTGTATGCATTTTTCTGGAGCTGTACTTGTGTGCAGCACGGCGGATTATCACCCTTGGATAGAATAGCTGCGAAGGCCGTGCAAGCGGCGAGCGAGTAACCTTGACTGGCATGACTGCACCCGCTGCAGGAGCGCTCGTGGCGCGCGATCCAAAGCAACGAGCTCGCGCTTTTAGCACTGTCGTCGATAGCATTTTTTTTCAGTGTTAGTCGTAAAAAAGAAGGTATAAGGTTTAAAAGTGCAAACAGACAGGGACAATAGAAAATAACACAAACGACAGGGACCCTGTCCCTGTCGTTTGTGTTAGTTTCTATTGTCCCTGTCTGTTTGCGCTTTTAAACCTTATACCTACCATGGACCAACTAGCCCAAACCAAAGTTGTAATGAGTAAAAAAGAAATGTCCTAGATATCGCCAAATATCCCAACAAAACAAAATGTTCGAAAAAAAAAAAAAAAGAAAGACGGCCTCCACTGCGGATCGAACCCACGACCGCGCGGACGTCAGGCAGGCATGTTAACCGCTAAGCCACGCTACAAGTTTTGAAATCACATTTTGACAATTCGTTTTTTACGAGACTTTCGGACGGCACTTAACGCGGAGTGACTCCTTGACTCCGCGGCCGCTACTGCTACGGGGCCGCCAATACACGGCTTTGGGGGCCGCAAGGACCGCGCAGCAGAGGTTGGTTACCCTGTTTCTCCACGGGGTGCGGTGTCGTCGGTGCCGAGAACCGCTCCGATTGCAAACCGAAACTTAAAAACCCGTCGAATTTGTGCGGTTTTCAGAAAATCATAAAATACCTCGCGCGCCTTCTATCGTTCTGCAATTTGTTAATTCAGTGTTTCTAAATGATTCTCATCAAGATTCTAATTGAAACCATGCCCATAAACGAATATTTAAAAAAATTAATTACGTGAAAATAATTAACAACTTAATTATCCCGAACTTTAACAATTTCCCTATATAGGCCCCTGGCCTAGGACCGAGACGACACAAGCCTTTTTTCTGTTACGATGCGTTGTTTTCGCAATGGTCGAATTTGTCCACCTTTCGTGAAACATCCTGTATATGGGTGGTTTCATCTCAAATCACGCTAGAAAAAATGTTGGGTCTTCAAAAAATTCTGGAAAAAATATATGTTGTGGGCTAATTCTTCATTAGGACGAAATGGGAAGCGGTTTTGAAGAAAAAAAATTTGTTCTCGAGTTATTATATTTCATTTGGACGAAAGCGGATTCTTAGATTTTGCCGATTGTCAAAGGTCGCATATTCGAGATTCCCTCTACGCTCATATATGGGCCGCACAGTTATCAAACTTTTTTACTTGTTTTACACTTTAGGTAAAATTTCTTAATTACAACTGAAAAAAATATTTTTTAATATATCGTAAAATAAAAATGATCAAATCTAGTCCCTTTGACAAATATTTGCCGAACTTCAGTGATCATAATTTTCGTTTTGTTCAACGTTTTGGCATAAACAGCACATCAAACGAAAGCTTAAGACATTTACTTTTTCGGAAAAATATAATCGGTATTGTCAATCAGGTGTAATACAGTGAAACAAACCTCTGAAGAAAAAAGGATCGCTAAAAGTACAATATTCAAAGTCAATTTTCCCAAAAAAAACATTTTTATTTTTTTTTTAATTTTGTGTACGGAAACCTTTTAACATAGTCTTGAAACGTTGATAAAAATTAGAGTGGGTATTTTGTTTTTTGATGCAACGCCATGCGTTTAAAAACATAATATTTTCCACTCTGCTATGCTTGACAATCTGGAACGTTACTGATTGTTTTACACGGCTATATAATATTTGATGACATCTGACCTATTGTATTTACGTCTTCGTAGCAGAAAGGACACGTAAGCAGTGTGTTGTGTCTATGTGTGTCACGCAGAACATAACTTGGTAAACTAAACACAGCATACGCGTATTGCGTGTTTCGGCAACCTTATTGTGCACGTCTCCACATATCTAGACAAAAAAAAAAGCGTTTCCAAGCTATCTTTATATTTCACCTCGTTATAAGCATCACTATTTAAGTAGTAGTAATCTAATTGGGTTGTTTTTAAGTAGTGAGGTTTCATGTTGATTATAAGAATTCGAGTGATGATTATGTTCGCGATTACATGACACCAAAAGAGTCTGCATTATCAGGAAGAGAAACGGCTTAAAGCCTTCACACACATGCATCCTATCCTCAACGGATTCACGTGCGTCTATGGGCTCCTTGCACTGACGTCACATCGCATACTTTTGAACACCAAGTAAAAGGAGGAGAGGGAAGCTGCTTTTGTGAGAATTTTGAGTGACAGGTTAATCTTCTATAATCTTCTGGGGGGAGAATAGCGACGCCTGTGCTTATCCGCGATGCAAAAAGGAGAATCCTGATAAGAGGGGAGCTCCTTCTTTCCCTTTTCTCTGGAGGGCATCGGCCTAAGCCGACAGTGCGGCGGAAGCTATGTGTTCGCCGGACCAATTAATGGCATGCCTCTTATCGCTTGACCTCGCGCTCGGCGCGTGAGTACACGGAGGAGGGGATCATCAGGCGGTGCAAGGCCGACAGTTGACTGCCCCAACAAGCATGCAGCTTCCACCGCACTGTCAGCTTACGGGTGAACGGAGTATAGCCAACGTATTCGTAGCGTCTAGCGGGGTTCACAACGCCTCACTCCGGCGACGCTTCGAGGTCGACGCCTTTGAGCGCGCCTCGGCGACCTTCCCCTCTCAATGTCTCCGAGGGGAGCGGCCGCTAGACCTTGACGTTTGCTTAAAATCAGAGCTGGCAGTAATGTAATTACTGTAATGAAATTACAGTAATTTAATTACTTGTTCCAGTAATTAGTAATGTAATTCATTACTTTTTGTAGCAGGTAATGTAGTAATGTAATGAATTACTCCAGCGGCGGTAATTGTAATTAAATTACCTAATTACTTTTTCGCACCAGGCATATTTTTTTGTGCCCACAATACACAAGAGCGCTTTTTTTTACTTTACTTTTTCTTTTTCCTCTACACCTTTCCAAAAAAACGCTCTTTGGTCGCCGCTATGTTGCTGATGCTAATGCGGCTGGTGCGACTCTCGCGCCCGCTATCAGCTAGACATTTTCTGCCACTCTCTTGAACTGTAAAAACCCACTCAGCGCGATTCTCTACCTATGTTTTGCGGTTTTGCATTCGACGTTTTCTGGCCCCTCCTAAAAGTGCCCGCTTACTTTTTCTGATGCATGCTGCTCACCCTCTCTGCGTTATC